TTTTTTGGTAAATCAGTCAAGATTAGATTAGCAATAGAAAAGGATCAAAATTCTTAAAATATTATAAAGAGCCGGCAAATGTACAAAAAATTTTTACAGTGAAAATTGATAAAAAAATATTTAAAAAAAAAAATGCATGAGAAAAAAAATACATTATAATTTTATATAAATAAGAAAAAAAAAATAAAAAGAATTCAAAATGCAATGAAAAATTTAAATTTTAAGAAAGGGAGAATAAGAATTTATAACATAAATAAATATTAATTTAAAAAAAATATAAATTTATGTATGTGCGTATGTAAAATTATAAAAGATAAATTTTAATATAAAAAAGTAAACGGAAAGTATAGTGGTGACCCAAAAATAAACACAAAAAAAAAAAAAGAGAGCAAAATGTATGCTAATATTTTGGATAACACATCATTCGTATCTGGTAATTTTTTAAAATAATTTATTAATTTAATTAAAATATCCTTGAAATTAAAATAAGTATGCTATGCTGCATAAGTGCGTATAAAATGTGCCATTTATCTCGGACCATATTTGATAAAAATTCATAAAGCTTTTTGATCTTTTGTATATTTGATCTAATTGAAAAATTGGATTTTAATAATTTTTTTATTTCAAATTAGTAAAACTATTTTAATAAAAACTTTTTAATTTCAATTATAATATTTTTATACATTCATTAAGAATAGATCAATATGTTTCCTTAACCTATCGCTAAATCGCTAAAGTCTTAAGGCAATTTTATTATTTTCAACAAATTTTGAAATTTTATTCCGATTAGTATGAGAAAAATCATAAATTACAACAATTTAAAAATCAATAATAAAAGTTCATAATATAAAAAGTATATAATTTTTTAATACAGTGTTCATTATTACTAGAATTTCATTAATAATTATGATAACAAACATTTCTCCTTGTCCTACAAATTTGTGGTGGAAATACATACATGATTTGTTTTAGAATAATTGTTAATTTGGAGTACGAACTATTTACTTATATTTTAAAATAACCGAAATAAATTTACACTACACACGCATTTATGTTCGATCGAACATGTCGTAAATTATTGTTCGAAGCAATACAACATTATATGATAATAATGATATCTTGCTAACGACACAATTCTTGTTAATAATAGTAAATTGTGTATTAGTTATAATAAAATTTAATTTTTCATTTAAATTATGAAAAAAAAAAAAATAAATTAGCCCATTAGACGATCTTCGAAAAAAATCTTAGAATTAAAAATTATCGAAGAAAATCACGATCGTAACATACGAAATATTTTCAAAAAGTACTAAATTAATAATGGATAAATAATCTTTGCTTTATATTGATGTTAAATATTCATGTGTGTAATTAAAAAAAAAAATAGGATGTTGACCGCCAATAACGAATTAAGTCCGAAAGTATATACAAAAAAGGTTCTTATGCAAATTAATAATTTTTAACTTAAATTTTTTTAAATGATTTAAAAACGGCGCAAATACAGCTGTTTTCAAAAGTATTATTTAAATTGGAGTGATTTTAATAAAATAAAATATTTAAAATTTCCGGAAAAATTAATGGTTAATTTGAAAAGTGTGATTTGAGGAAGCAAAGACATGCTTGTGTAGGTTAAAATTTTTTTTTTAAATGAGTTTTATTGCGAGTAAGTAATTTTATTTAAAAATTTTTATAAACGAACAGTTTATAAAATGAGTTTTTATCATAAATTTTCGAAATGAGTCAAAAAATGTGTAGACATAATATTTATATATGAAAGTGGAGTAGTCCAATATGTTCTGGTCATTATTTATGTAGTAATTTTACACAATTTCAATATTTATTCATACACAAGTGATAGAATCTTTCTTTTTAAATTATGATTCATATGAAATAAATTTTATATTAGTTTTAATTTTTTAAAGAAAAATGTTTATGATACCAAACAATCATACATAAACACATTTGCAATTATATATCTGATTTATAACATTATATTAACATAAACATACAAGTGCGATATGCAGAAAAGCGTACGTTTTTTTTTTGAGGGCAATTTAACAATTATATAAACAATTATATTATTGGGTGAAAAAACTCAACTAATTAAATCTCTTTATTTATTTCTTTTTTTCAAAAATTCTCTGAAAAGCTTTTAAATAGAGAAAATTTTGGCAAAGTGAAGAGCTTATGAACAGCAAAAAATAATTAAATTTGCTTAGAAATTTAATGTCAGAGTTGCGATACTCATAGCAATAATAGTCATGAATAATTTTTCTATAAAGAAATTGCTAAAAACTTTTTTAGATTCTTCTTTGTAGGAACTGATTTCAGAACACAATATATGCATGGTATTATATATGTTATTACTTTTTAAAATTGTTTAATTGAGGATTAGTTCACAAAACCTCTATGTTATGCGTTAATATGTAAAATGTAAAATAAGTGATGAGTAACAAGCTCATTTTGTATTGAGCCAATACGTAATAAATGCTATTTATAAGCGCAATAAATAAAGTCAAATAAGAAATTTTGTTTCGTCTCTGATTTTCCAAAACTTGTTCTAATTTAATGATTCAAACAATTTGAACGTTTTTCTCATTTATGAGAAATTGTTTAAAGTGGATCAATTATACGCATACGAACATTATGTTAAAAGTTGTATGTAATTTCTTAGAGTAGTTATTGTACAATCGCTTTTTAATTTGGGCTGTAGTGGTTTGAATAGTTGTCATATATGTTATGCTGCGGTATATGTGCATGTGTATGAATATAAAAGTACTCAATTATCTGTTGCCACTAATTTGGTCGCGCTTTTCTCATATATTCATAATATTGTAAAGGATTATTAAAAAAAGTATTCAAGATGTTTCAACATATATAAATATATTATGAATGTGCAAGATTGAAATAAATGTAAAATGTTTGTTGCGTTATTTGAACTTTGAATTTTTATTTCCATTATACACATTATATGTGAAAATAATGTTCAAAGATCCTTTTTCAAGGATTCCTTTTTTATATTAATGTTAACATCGTTTCTCTGCCACATCGATTATATTTAAAACAATTCAATTTTCGGCTGTTTAAATATTTTAGAATTTTAATATTTTCATTTTAACATTTATTTCGTATACGCAAAATATTTAAAAGCGTTTTTGAAAATAGCACTGCAGGTAACTAAAATTAGAAAACATGCATATATCTAACATATTATAATTGTCAATCATACAATAATAAAATGGGGTAATTGTTTTCTTGCTCATTTTAAAATTTCGAAATTTCTAATTTTAAAAATAAGTATATTTCGAAATTATGAAGTAATTTTTTGTTATATAAATATATAAATTTATAATTTTTAGAAAAATTCTAATTTCCTAATTTTTAAATGATTAAGTTTGAAAAAATTTATTCAAAAAAATACAGAGTGTACACGCAAATGTAAACATCATAAAAAAATTTACATATTTTTAGAAATCAATTTTTAATATTCAATAAATTATATTATCTATGTTATAAAATGTTAAGGAATTTCTGATCATGTTGTAATCTAAAAAAATTTAGCATAGCTCAAAAGTAGAAATCAACCTTTTCTCGTTAAAAATAAAATTTTGTGTGAGGTTTATCATTATTCGGTATATACCATGTAATCTAATATGCCTTTACCAGAAAAGGTGGCAATTTACGCCATACTTCAACAATAAATTCCTCTTGAGTATATTACTTTTAGAATTTGTACGAGAACACAATACTTTGTATGAGGACACCACACATCGGTGTAAATATGTATACACATATGTATATAATTAATAGGAAAATTTTAATCATGTCAAATATCTATATAATATAAACGCCTTTGCAAAATATTTAAAATTTTTACCACTTGGCAAATGACTTAGCTTTTAAGACTATGAAAAGTTTTTATGTTTTTTTTTTTTTGAACAAATTTCAAAAAAAAAATGATAGGTAATAAAAATAAAATTCGTAATATTATTTTGCAAATCGATTCTATTATTCTATTGTCGTTGAGGTTCACTTAAATTTTAAATAATTATTTAATAAGATTTCAGGTTCAAGGTTAATAATAACATCGGAATCTGAAAAAAAATTTTCTTTTACTTGTACGAATTTTTCATAAAAATTGATATTGGGATTTTCTGAATAGAGTAGGATAGTAAAGATACGTTTTTTTGCAAAGTTACTGTATGTATATGAAATATTGTGCATGCTTAAATAATTAATAAACTTTTAGTTGCTTATATAAGCGTGATAGACCTTGAAACTGCACAAAAAATAACATAAGATATTAAATTTTAAGCGAAAGTGACTTAATATAAAGAAATCCGAGGTCTAATATAATCAAAACAGTTGTTCTAAAAGGAGCACATATCGACAATTCGATATCTATTCTGGTTTTTGATCCCTGGTGGCCATATGTGTACTTTTGCTGATTAATTATAAGTCAGTTATTTTAGCTTATCCCGAGGTGAGGACACCTTTAAGTATGTTTTTTATTTTCCGTTGTAACTATTCGTTTAGAACTTTGGTTCCATTTTGGAACATAAAACTTTTTGAAGACTAAGATCTTTAGTTACCAAACTGTATATTTTTTTGGATATAATACAGAATCGTGGATTAGTCTCTCTTCATTTGCGAGAATTTTGTTAATAAGCCCTTTAAGTCATAAACTACTCTAGCCGGTAAGAAGAATTTTAGGATAAAGTAATGAGATTAAAATGGAAAAGTGACTTTTAAGATACTGGCTACCAATACCAAAAAGTGTGGACCGTTTTATAAATAATTCATCGGCAAGTTCTATTGAATCACAAAGAAAAGTTTATAGGATTTAATACGGACTTGTAACACATAAATAAAGCTTTAATTACTTGTAATACTTTGGTTATTTTCCGTAAATTATTAAAAAAAAAAAAAATCAAATCGACATTGTGTTCAAAATATTGTTGTCAAATAATTACAAAAAAAATTTTTATTTTGTATTTCAGAAAATCCATATTATTTTAATAATAATAATAAGTCTCCAAAAACCCCGGAATCTAGCAGTAAAGGATTTTCATTCTTTCGTCGAAAAAGTTCTAAAAGTAACAGCAATAGTAATTCACAACAGTCAATTATTTCATCATCAACAGTACAATGCAATAGATCAATTAATTCTGCAACACTTGGCCATGATGCCAATACATCTCTTGGTAGTCCCAGAGGAAGTTTTGGTTCATTAGGATCATATCCGCAGGTATTTTTTTATTAAATTTAGTATATTTGTCGACTAATAGTGAATTTAAATTAAATTTAAAATATAATTTCTATTTTATTTCTAAGGTTTTTGAATTTCAAAATGGTAACCAAACAATTTACAGGCAATCGAGTATTAAAGATAAATATAGAGAACGTCTTGGTTCATATAACGAATCATCATTTGCGAATCATCATCATCATCATATTCATAACGATAATATAGACGATGTGTTTTTGTTACAAACAAGGTAGATAAATATTTTTAGATATTTCTCGAATATTTTTAAAACATTGTATATGAAATTGTGTTCAATATGCTTCAATGTAAGCATATAAAATTATCAATGAAATTTTTAAAATTAAAAAAATTTGTATGCAGGACAAACGGATGTAATACATTACCGATAAATTCAGATGGAAATCGGAGACATTCCATTGGAAATTTTACACATAGACAAAGATGTGCTTCGCTTTCTGATGAAGTTCCTAGAATGATTGCACCAAAACCACCAGTTATATCACCAATTAAATATCGTCCTAATAAGCGTAAAGGTACGTTAAAATAAATTTTTTATTAAAATATAAAATATAAAGACACCTTATGCCTTAAAATTTTTTCATATTATATTTGTTAAGTAGGTACGTGTTATTATAAAATATTTATCAGCAGCAGAAATCTTAAAAAATTTAAATGCGGTTATATTGTAATCAAAATTAGAATTCCACATAGTTTTGTTATCTATCTTACTCCGCGATCACACGTGAAAGCACTATGACAGAATTTCTTAATTAATCTGCTTTTAGTGTAAGTGATAGTTTGTTGGGTGACATTTTGTGGAAACATATAGAATTAATTAATTTCAAAAACCACATTTTGGTAATATTAAGAGCAATAAATTATTAATATTTATCTTTGCAAAATTTCAATTCAATATCATAGTCTAGTTTTTCATTTATAACCTTTTAAATTGCTTCTACATCACGTTTAACTGAATTATAATAAACCATTCATGAAAATTTGGTAAACGTTGTTCAATTGCATTTTGAGCATACAGGTACGAACGAAGGGGGACAAAAGACTAACTCGACTTAGAATTAGGTGCTAATCAAAAACACTTGTGTGCAGTGACGGATCTACCATATATGCATAGTAAGCATTTGCAAAAGGTGCCATTTAAAATATAAAAAAAATCAAATTTTAAGAAATAAAAATTTTTCCAACTTTTTTCAGTACGTACATTAGAAACAAAAAGAAAGCTGAGAATTTAATTCCAGGCTTTAGTTCTATAACTAGTTCTGCACTAAGCATGATAAAGTTACAAGAATGTGATTTAATACGTACAATGTTTTATATTTATTATTAACAATGTGTAAATGTGAAGTGGAACATTTTAGGAAATCCGTCTGGGCATCGAACAAGCAGAACTGGGTCTGCTTGTGTGTTTCAAAAATATTGTTCGAATTCAACTAGCGATTAGAAAATTTAAACTATAAAATTTAAATTTTACACATTTGACATTTATTCCTCCACTTAATCAAATTGCTAAATATTTTTACAAAACGTTGAACTGAACTGATCCAAAGCAGTAGTCGGGAGTAATTTCTAAATAGAACCCTGATTTGTATGAAATTGGTGTGATATTGGAGTAAAAACGAATATTAGGTTAGTTAGAAAGATTTGAACTTAGTTAGTAAGACTTTACGTTTATTTTCCAAATTAAAATGTGAACCCATCTACCGGAATAAATAACCGTAACTCCTTTCTATTACTCTTTTATATAAACTAGAGTAATTGGATTGTTAGTATCCATTAAATATCTTTCAAGTATACCGTCTGATTCCAATACAAAAATTTGAATATTAAACCAATCTTTCATATTTTAAAATTTTTTTATAATATAAAAGAAATTCAATTTAAAATTTTTTTGTCCATTGATGCATTTAAATTTCAATTAAAAATATTTTGTATTTCATATTAGATAAAATATTTCATTTTATTGCAAATTATGCTAGACTTTGCAATATATTAATTTTTAGAGTAAGAAATAAAAAAGATATTAATTTATATTATGAGACAGAAAACTATAAAAGAAAAGTGTCATTTCAACACTTTAATTTCATAAAAAATTTAATTTACTTAAAGATAATAGTAATCAAATCATTTAAAAACTTCCTGAACCCATAATTCTTAATATATTATGATAGCGTGTGTACATATGTGCGATATACATAATTACACACGTATATATAAGAAAAAATGCATTGTAAAAGATATGGAAATAAAAATGTATATTTATGTACGTATGTATATGTGGATTTATGAGTACATTAAGAATTATTCTGTTTGCACATTTTGCAATCGATTTATACATGTGTGTGTGGTATAAGGGAGAATTACCTAAATTAACACAGATAAAAAATAATCTAATACTTCAAGATTTACGACAGTTAAATTTTAGATACATATATACTAATAAACAACATTGTATAAAGTTAAAAAATGGGATGAGAACTTAAACAAGAAATTGAAAAACTAATAAATTTACCGTTTACAGATCCTAATGCCTGGGTAAGAAGGGACAAGTAGTCAAAAGTGAATGCTATAAAACAGACATAAAAAGTGATCTATATGTATACATAGTTTTTTGGAAAAATTCCTTAAAATTATTGTTTTTCTGCCTACGTACATTATTTTTCCTAATTTTGTAAAATTTCGCGAAAAAATTATTAGATATACTCGTATGCATCAACTCACTTTATAACCCGATTTTAAATATATATTAAGATATTGCTTCGGGCATAGGTAATTTTTTTTTTTTCTTGAAACATTTCGATCGTTTATTTATTTTGGAAAAACCAATTGCAATTTCATTTATATTTCAATTTTGTTGACACATACAAATAATTCCACCTTCAAATTTTGTATACCAATTCGTTTCAAGTACAATCTCATCAATAATATTTGAAGCATTGGGCCTGAAATCTTAATCTGGAATTGGGACAGAAAAAGATTTTTGATTTATTTAATCTAGGAATTTTTATATTTCGGATAAATGTCGTCAAATATCAGAAATTTTAGAAAATTTGATTGAAGGCACTTACGTAACTCCGTATGAACTTAAAGAAATTAAAATGAAAATTGATTCTGTATAGAGGTTAATGACCCTTTAAGCAAAATGTTAATTTTTCCACGGTTTCTGAAGTTTATGAAAATTTTAGATTATTGAATAGGTGAGAATAATAGATTAATGACCCTTTGAGCAATATGTCCTCACTTATGCTGAAAGTTTCCAAAATAATAATATTAACTTTATTAAATTGCTTCTTGTTTTTACCACAGATTTGGTATGCCCAATTATTGTGTTCATACATTATGACGTAAAAAATGTTATAAAATTTATGTTTTATAAGCAACATTCTGCTTTTAAAAACCGTTTCTTATAAAACAATGTTCAAATAAGAAATGATTGCGAAATCAACCAATTTAAAATTATAAAATTTTTTTTAATACAAAACGAATTTATGTGTAAAGTGTGTATATAGTGTAAAATAATATTCTTATAATTTATAATTTTCTTCTATTTATTCAAAATTATTTTGTCGGTCTAAAACAATATGTAGGTATAATATACTTTACAACAATAATATTAAGTACTTACTTGTACAGATTGTTTTTTTTTTTCATCCTCCAAATTTGAATGCACATTTGATTGTCTCGTTTTTTTCTTTCTTTGTTTGTTTCGTTGAGAAATCAAAATGTCATCAAAAAAAATTAAAGAATCTGGTTGAATCTTATGTTATAAGTGTAGGTATTTTGTGTGCGGTATCTTCTATAGAAAATAATCTGAAGAAATATTACACTAAACTAAATGAAAGATAAAAAAATTTTGCAATGAAGGCAAAGTGTCTTGTAACATCAATCATAATTTAAGTAGTAAAATATGACAATTCATAAATATTGGATAATAACTCACGCAGTAAATTTTATCAATGTGTCTATGAATTGAGTGTATACTCACATAATGTATATACATATGTACAATATTATTATAATTTATTTATTTATTATTTAGATGCTGCTAGCCCAGTTTATAAAATTTCACATCTTGATTTTTATTATTTATGTACATACATATTATGTGGATAGATTGTTCCTTATTAATCCAAGTACATCTACATTTTGCATAATTTAGACTCAGAGGTGTCCATAGTTTTCATAAAAATACTCGTACGAGTATCATTATATATAATGCTTTAAATTAAAAAAAAATTATGTTAGAAGACAAATATAAAAATTTTAAAGAAATAGAATTAGAAAATAAATTTATTAGAAAAAAAAAAAAAACAATTTAAAAATATTTTAAATTACAAGTTCCTTGAATTTATATTAATTTCATTCATATAATTTTAAAATTTTATAAATTAGCATTGTTTTATTGTATGCATTTATTTTAATTTAGTTTGTTTTTCGAATTGATTTTGATTAATGAATTACACAATAAAATTCATTAATTTACCTACATTTCGTTTTACAAAATCAATTTAAGTGTCTATGAACTCAGGAAGTATTTTTACGTTCTTATTCTAATAAACAAAAACTTTTTAAAATTCAGTTAATTCTTAGAAACTTGGTAATTTTTATTAAATTAAAGGGTACACGTGTACGAATGACAATAATGTCTCTCACTCTTATTAATTCTTATTTGTAATTATACAATTTATTACATGATTTCCATGAAATTGAAATCACAGTAATAGTGTAAGAGGAATTCCAAAAAAATATATCAGAAATATAATAACTACAATTCCAATTTGAGTATTAGTCGCAAATTATAAAATGTAAGCAATTGTATAAGAATTGTATTTTCATTTAATTGTTTATGGATATAGCTCTAGATCAATTGTTCTCAGCTCTAAACAATTAAATTTTTTTCAAACATATAAAATATTAAAAATATAAATTAATTATATTGTAAAATATATACATATATAAAACGATATATTGATTTATTTTCATTTAAGGATGTACGTAATTCAGAATTCGGTACTTGTTTGGCATCCTTATTAAGGAACAGGGTCCTAGACAGGAAAACAATTAATAAAATAATAATTCCATTTTTACATTTTTTGTACGTTTCGCTATAAGAATTTTAAAGAATGTGTTTCGAAACATAGCGCACCTTATTAAAAGTATAAAATAAGCCTTGTTTGATTAATATTGGTGAATGTGTTTAGATGTGTATGTGAGCGTAAGTAAACTATCAATCTTGTAAAATAAATAATAGGCAAATTGCTTGTAATAACAATAATAATTTTGAATTGTGCCAATTCATTGCCAATTACATACAGCCGTTGTTGAAATGAAAATATTATTATATGCAATTATTTAATAACATCAGATTTATTTATTTTCGCTGCTTTATTAAATTATTGTAATATTGCTTGAAAACTTAAATTATCAGTGAAAAATTTTAAATAAAAAATTATTTTTGCCTCAAATTTAGTTGTGTAGTTTAATTACAAATGTATATGCTGTAATAGACATTCCATTC